GAGAGAGAGAGAGAGAGAGAGAGAGAGAGAGAGAGAGAGAGAGAGAGAGAGAGAGAGAGAGAGAGAGATGGCTGCCCCTGCTGTATAACGCCAATCTCTTTATTAGAAAATCTGAACTCCCATACCAAATGATGAAAAATAACTTGAGATAAAACGAAGTCCAAAATTCAGAGCATGATGGATGTCCAAACTACAAGAAGAAGGACACTGCATTTCACTCGTAACACACGCACCGCATCACATGGTCCAGTGGCTTCGATCCTCGACCTCTCCCCTGAAAGTGTATGTCGTCACGAGCACCGTTCACGATCTAACGCACAGTGACAAACTGCCAACAGTGAAAACTATCACAATGCAACAATCAGCGCACGAGGAAGGTCTGTGTTTTGTCAGAGCCTGCCCTCAGAAGAGGTGCACAGTGACAAACTGTCATCAGTGAAAACTATCACAATGCAACAATCAGCGCACGAGAAAGTTCCCTGTTTTATCAGAGCCTGCCCTGAGAAGAGCTTCCTTCATTCGCGAATTTTGTGTTCTCCCATGATGATTTGTCACTTTCCGGCGAAGTTTCCGCCCAATCCAAGCTATAAAACACAAACAGTGCCCACAGTCAAAGAGTATCTCAACACTGCGTTGAGTAAGTTATTTTTGCCAAAGCCTTCCCTGAGGAACTCACCTCCACATATTGTGATCTTCTTAGTAAATAATATTTACCCAACCAATTCGTCGTTCATTGACTGCTGTGGACATCTTGAGGGACACACCGACTCGCCAGACCTGTTTACCAAAAACGAAAACACAAAAGAGTGCCAGAGGGCCAAATGTCAAATCGTACTCGATGCACGCTCTGTCGTTCCGACCAACGAGAGACGTCGGTAATTCTGCTGTCTGTACTCATAATGGAAGCAGGTCCTGATAGTAGGTCAAAGATACTCGATGTCGCCGGCCAGACAACCAACACAATGATCACCTGGACTCCTGAACACAGAGCCGATGCAATCACTGGCCTCCTCAAAACGGTTATATACCACCAGTTCACACGAGCCTAAGTTGACAAAGCTACCTTCCAAGGGTACCGAGCCCGAGACTGCGTATTTTCAAAGCGGGCCTGCCGTGTTCCCTGCCGGCCTAGGCCCAAATCCACAAGCTATTACCGTGAACACTGGCAACAGCCCTTTTCTGCTTCGGGTGAACTGGCGGTGTAATACACCAACAATATAGAAGTACGCAGAGGTTGAGTGACTTGTGTTGCATCATTACAACCAACAATCCCCAGCTTGAGGCAGCAACTGCCAACCACATGTGCTCCATTCTTTCACCGATTCAGCGCAATCGAACGGATACCGCTATAAGTATCGCAGAAACGTACAACTATCGAACTGTCGCATTCCGTTCCAACAACACCAATCACAGCAACGGCTTGCCACGTGGACAAGGAAATGGTGGACGGCGATAATTTACACCTAATGTTTGCTACGTGCACATAAAGGGAGCGCATATGCATTGCTTTTTATGTCACATTCACACTAGGACTTTTCCCTACTGCATTTTGAATTCTGGACATAATAAAAAGGTCGGATAGGATCAAGGACAGCCTTCCTGTGGGTATGACCTTAGCTAGCCATCGAAACAGGTAAACTGCATCGGTGGGTCTCCGAGGAAGTATATGTCATTGTTAAATTTGGAGGTTATCGAGAAGGCATGCCCAAACTTTCCGCTTCATTTATCGAATACATGATTTCCCGGAAACAAAAAAGAAAAGAAAAACAAGGATAGGCGAGACAGATCTCTCCTAGTGTTCTCCCGATGCCGACTATCTGCTACTGCAAGACACTGCAAACACTAGAAAATTAGTAGAAATGGAAACACCATAAGACCAAGGCTTGTGTGGCTATGGATTCTCCACAGCTTCAAACAGCTGGAGAAAACATTGCCCCGTCCCCTGTCTTGCTGCAAGAACCCGCTACTCAGAAAAACAGCCAACATACCTTGTGGCAACAGCATTGGAAAACAGACTTGAACCTTCAACCTTCCAATTGCAAGGGAAGGTAGCTTCGGATACATACCAGAGTAGGAGGAAGAGCTACGTCGTCAGAATCTCAGGGATATGGAACGCCGTACCACCGAGTATCTTCCCGCCCAAGTCAGGGAATGTTTCCACCCCTGGCAATGTCCTGACCGATCCATCCATCTCCACCCTGATGGGGTAGGGGCAAAGATGCCCTCTCATGTTCACAATGTTGGGTGCCATGTAGTCCTGCCAATTGGCTGCTGCTGCCCCTCGCACACGATTGACGCATTCCAACGAAGATGGCTCGTTGAACTCTGGCATGAAATGCCCGCCAAGATGCTCCGCCCACAGCGACAACCGGAACCCGTATACATCCGATCGAGGAGTTCTTCCATTCGAACTGGAAACTGTGTATCGTGGCTGGAATGCACCCATCGCAATCTCCGTGTCGCGCGTTCCATCCATCGACCGTTGGTTTATGTTCGCGGATCCCACAATGACATACTCGTCGTCGACAATCATCATCTTCGAGTGCACGTAAATCATAAATCGACGATTGTGGTACGCCCGGTCCAGAGGCGAATTGGGCTGAGGGGCTGTAGTCCTTCTGGGCTCATTTGGTACGGGCGCTTCTCGATTCGCAAGACAGAAGAAGTTGAGGTACTCCTGAGGATGAGAGTTCGTCTTCCCGGTCTCAATCAGCGCAGACCTGATGAGCTTATACATCATCTCGATGGTTTGGTACTGCACGACACAAAAGGCGACAAACGACGTGGTGCACATTCAATCAATGTCGTCATTCTCCATTGCTCAGACATCCCCTACGCAGAGCCTTCCCTCCACCAAAGCTTTGCCTCCCTCGAGTAGAGCCGTTAAACAACTCGAAGTTTGCAAAAGGCTTGGTTAACCCCCCCCCCCCCCCCCCCCAACTCCCCCTCCGTATCTTGTCTGACTCATGCTGAATTCATGCCGTATGATGTTTCTGCGAGGCCCTGAAATGATGCCCTCTCTTCTTTTTCCGATGAAAGTGGTGCTTATGGTTCTGTTTCTTCTGGGGAGTGATAGTCCGGTTCCTGTCCCCTTGGCAAGTCAGAATATATAACATCATGTACACCCTCAAATGCCTGGTAGTGCATACCACGCATATTGGGCCTCAACCCTTCATTGGGGAGTTCACTGGCCACGACACCCCCCCCACACCACCCACCCTTTCCCCACTCTCCCCACTTCCCCCATGTTTCATCCTCTTCCCCTCTTCTCTTCCTGTTTTCATTGCTTCTCATGTACTTCCAGGTTTTCAGCTCTTCACCCGTCTAGCTTCTCCTTTCTCCTTTTTCAATTTGTGCGTGACATTCTTGGACAGGGGCCAAGCTAATCTTCCTCTTTTGCAGAAAATGATTTAACAGCCTGAAGGACACACTTCTTTTTTCCTTCCTTCCTTCCTTCCTGCTTTCCACATCGCTATTCCCTCTAAGACTTCCCACCAACGAACAACTGGAAGGACTTCCATTGCATGAAACATCACCACGCCATTTGGAATACAGACTAGGATCTGGTTCAAGCACCCACATGACGGTCAAGGAGGCATCATTGCACATTCCACATTCAATCACCCAAAAGCATTCGTTCACAACAGGCTGTCATAGCATATGGCCTTAGCCTAAACTGTATGTGAGAGAGAGAGAGAGAGAGAGAGAGAGAGAGAGAGAGAGAGAGAGAGAGAGAGAGATTTAAGTGCACGCAGCGGTCACACACCTGCCAATAGAGAAGAGTTTGGCCCACACCGCTGTCAGGTGCACCCTCCGGAAACATTGGGATGACAATGTACGCCGCGAACCTCTCATTCTGGCGGATCTTGTCCACAATCTTCAGCGCAATTTCGGCAGGTATCAAGTTGTCACAACCTGCACTCCTGTTGGTAGCCCACATATAGGAACTGCCCATAAAGTACTGGTTCTCAATATATACGAAGTGCTGCGCGGACCGAATGGCATTGATGTATGCATCCTGTACGCTTCTCTCGATGATGACACCCTTTCCGCTGAGCAAGCCACGAGCCCGTACTTCAACCTGATTGGTCGGCCAACCCCTGACAGAGCCAGAGTCGATGGATCTGAACACCTGAACGTGCCACGAGTCCGGCTGCGAGTCATGTGTAACCATCACCCTCGGATCACCTTCACGTGGGCAGTCCTCGGCAGGGGAGAGAACATATTGGATGTCCTTGAGCTCAAGGAGAGAGTCATCAAATCGGTGGGCTGATTTTTCCCACCTTTCCGTGAAGTTCTTCAATACGTCGTATGCTGCAGGCCCTTCCAGCCGGCAATGGATGTCGTGCCATGGCTGGCGAGGACCACCATGAGCGAGTGTCGCAGAAGGAATGCACCCTTGGTAGTAGTCTTCGCCGTGCGTAGGAACATGGAGCGTGTGAAACAGAGGGTGAGACTGATTGTCATATCTTCCATTGCACAGGTCGATACCACCAATAAATGCGGCAACCCTTCGATGGGTTAGCTGTCGCATGTTCACTGGTGGCGCGTTTCGCTGGAAGGTGTAGTCATCCACATCTACGAGCACCGCCTTCTGGTGATGCGTAAACTGGATCGCAGTGCTCTGGTCGACAAAATCGCACAGGTAACGACAGCCAAAGGGAAGGAAAGAGTGCCAGCACACAGTTAGCAGCATAAACGTGAGAACGGAACCAGTCAGCAGGTAAGGGAGCTTTAGGATCCCTGTCCTCTGGTCGTCAAGATTGCACTCGACACAAGAGAGCACTAAAGAGACGAGTGACAGGCAATGGACAGAGAAAGAATGTCATCACACACTTAGCAGCAGGAATAAAAAAAAAAAAAACACAAGAATGAAACCATCCAGCAGAGCCAGCGAGCCAGCTCCACTGCCATCTGCGTCCATGGATCACCATCGCACTCTCGGGAGATTTTATACAATTGCCCCTGAAACGCACAGTCCTTTCAACCCCCGAATCTGACTCCGCGTCGCCAATCCTTTCATAGTCACCTTGCCAATCATGACCAGATTCGCAGCATCCGTGATTTTGATCTCACGTTCAGCAGTTGTCTCAGAGGGGGACAGTATGGGGACAGTTCGAAACCCTCAACTAAGAGATTCTGCACACTCCAGGAGTGGGCCTACCGGATGAGATGATTTGACTAAGTCATTTGGGACATTCCCTCCCCTGCCTCGGCCTTAACTTTTCTTCCGACAAGAAAAACTGAAGCTCCTGTTTCTGGCTCCAGGCCATTCTGAGGGCAAGTGGTTCACAGTCTGCTAAACACCTCATATCGGGTTGTGATTTCTTGTCAATTGTAATGACCCGTCATAACACAGACTGAGAACACTGCTGATTTCTGAAGTTCTGCCGATGGAATGAATGCCTTGATGAGATTCCCGCATTCTGCTGTGTTTTCCAAGTCTGTCTGTGTGTGTGTGCTTGTGACCTGCATGCCTGTCTGAGTGCTTGTTGGTACGCGAGTGTGTGTGGGACCCGCAAGGGTACTTGCTTGTTTGGTAGGCCCGTAGGGCCGGTACTTACCTGTGGCCGTGGCATTGAGGGTTGTAGCAGGGAAAACACTCAAGTGGCGAAGCTAGCGGCCCTGAGGCCCTTGGGGTAGCGGAAAAACCCTCAAGTGGGCCGGTAGGCCGATACTGCACCCCACTGCAGTTGGCGTTTGGGGGTACTGGAGGCCGAACAGAAAAAGACAAAGTTGGCATTTTTAGAGTCCAGTAGCGGTAGGGTAGGTCTAGGCCGGTACCAGTCCAACCAGTCTGAGTCTAGAGCCTGTACGGGTAATATCAGGGTCTGCAATGATGTTTCCCTCCGAAACGGAGGAGGTACCGGTTGCTTGGAGAGGCCGAGTGGCCTGGAAGTCACCGCCCAAGAGGCAAGCAGGCCGCTATATCTAGAGGCGGAGGCAAGAGCTCCGCCTCATTCTTCAGTGTGCGAGTTGGGCGTNAGAGGCAAGCAGGCCGCTATATCTAGAGGCGGAGGCAAGAGCTCCGCCTCATTCTTCAGTGTGCGAGTTGGGCGTCACACTGCTGGAGCGCTAGGTGGAGGAGCGCTGGGCTCTACAGCGCTGCTGGGAGGAAGAAGCCGGGAGCTTCCACCTTGGCTATGGTGGAGCTCAGCCGGTAGGAGGAGGAGGGAGAAGGGGACCACGGAGGAGAGTGGTAGGGTACTTACCTGGCTATGGTAGACACCATCTTCATCTCCTTGCTAGGCACTGCATCAGGAAGGCCCCAGTGGGGGTAGTGCCGCATCAAGGAAGCTCGGACAGAATCAGGCATGGCGGTTGAGTGGGCAGCGGCATAGCTGCTGGGTGATGACCTGGAAGAAGGGCAGCGGTGTAGCTGCTTGGGGTTGTCCTTTGTACTGGAGGTTGAAACCTCAGTAGTCCGCCATAGCCTCGGCCCGTATGAGGAGGAAGAAGAAGGGCTGCCTTGGCTATGGTGGACCTCATCTTGTGCCTGCAGTAGAAGTGGGATTCGGACATTGATTCTGGTTCAGCTGTTCAACATTATTATTGTTTATTTATTGTTTGAATAAGAGAGGAGGAGATAAAGAGGAGGTTGTTGAGCGAAGAAGAAGAGCTTCGTCTTTGATCTATGCTGGAGTACATCATCTCTTTCTTCTTTCTTGATTCTTCTTCTTCTTCTTTCCCTCTCTCTCCTCTCAAGTTCTTTCATTTCTTTTGCAATTGAACGGCATTGGGCTCAAGTTCATTCATTTCTTTCGCAATTGGACAACATTGTACTTTCTGATGATTGTGGACTTCAAAATCGGCCAGGATCGTAACACAATTGATAGCGCAGCACCGTTCTGTCAGAAACTCCACGCAGGTAAAGCGTCATCATCACCAAACCAGCGGGTTGACGTCGTTGTCTCCGCAGGCAAGCTCCCACTCAATTACCCTGATTCTATGTTCCTGGCCGTCGACCCTCTCTAAATCTACAGTCTAAAGAGAAGAACACAGGCAAGAGGGACCTTGCCCCTGGTGATATCGAAGGGGCAAGTGGGACCTTGCCCCTTGGGATATCGAAGGGGCACTTGCCCCTTGGGATATTGAAGGGGCACGATGGACCCCACCCCTTGGGATATCAGAGTTGATCCAACAACACAAAACAGACAAAGGAAAAAGAACATAGCCAACCGAGGGCAGATGCTCTGAAAACAAAAATCAGGAGGAGGGAGAAAGAATGGAAAGAAAATTTTGAAAAAACAAACAGCAACAGTACAGTGAATGGCAACATTCCAGTGGTCCTCCGTCTGCCACGGAATAATTCTCATCCATCTGCAACCTCCTCGTCGCGTATTTGCTTGTGTGTGTGTGTGTGTGTGTGTGTGTGTGTGTGTGTGTGTGTGTGTGTGTGTGTGTGTGTGTGTGTGTGTGTGTGTTTCAAAGATTCCCAAATTCTCTCCTCATTCCAACCACAAATCATCACAAACCATCCATAAAACAAAAAAGGTATAGATAGACAATATAGTAGAAGATGCAAGGTTGCCCACATTTGTGCGGCGTTTGTGTACGTGTCTTGTGTGTACGTGCGTGAGCCTATGTGTGTGTTTCGGATTTTCACCACAACAGCTCCTAATCCACCCAGATGAGTAGAACCAAAATCGAAGCAGCTTTAGACCTATTGCAGACAACGAAGCACGCTTGAGTTGAGACATCCCAACAATCAAACAGTTTTACCTCTATAGCAAGTAACATGGAGCACAATAAATCCGTTGAAATCCCTTGGTCAACTATGTTTACCTTGGCTTTATTTGGGGCACCTGTCGCATGCTTAATCGGCGTCGATCAGAACCGAGAACCGGCCTCTCTGAGACAACACAAAAAATAACACATCGGAAAACTGAAATACCAAGATCTGACTCATCATGGGCAATGGCAGACTCTGTGACTACAACCATCATCCTGCGGTGGGAGTGGACTCAGTGCTGCAAACATAGAAGGTGTGCTGAGTCCCAATGCAATCACGGATGAAGATGGGGGAGAAGAGACGAAGGGAGGAGGAGATAGGGAGGACCAGCCGCCATAGGTCGCCGCTCATACAATGTCGAGTCGTAATGTCACTGAATCAGGCAATGGCCAAAAGTCACCAAGTCTCACGGTCAACTCATCTCTCTCTCTCTCTCTCTCTCTCTCTCTCTCTCTCTCTCTCTCTCTCT